GGATAGTCTCTAAAGTTCACAGCCCATTCCATGAAATCAAATTCCATGCCACGGCCCCAGAGAGTAGAGAAGCACAGACCAGCATTAGGGTAGTAGCTGCAGAGATCTAGTTTGGATGACAACTGACAAAAAAAGACTGAAACAAACCTCAGTGGATCATATTCTTGCATAAGACGAATACACTTATCCTGTCCATGAAAGTATGGATCCGCAAAGGCACGTATCTCGAAGTCTGTCCATTTAGAAACAAACAAGGGCCTAAAAAACGCAGATATCGGCAGAGAAAACAGGAGCCAATAGATAATGTTGAACGGTAAGGTAAAACTCATTAGTCAATACACCACGTTGATGAAGAGCTATTTTCTGCGACACTCACTATATGGCGCTTTTTACCATACTAGGACTAAAGAAGCCAAACTTGGTCACTCAATTCTACCCCATTTTCACCAAATCATCCCAAACCAGGAACTTTAGAACCACGTCTTAACTTCACGGCGCGTTATCAAAGGGACATTCGAGCAGAAACTGACAAACCTAAGCAAAACGAAAAAGCTCATGCCAAGAAAAGCAATTAGCATCTAATCTGAGTCAATCAATTTACGTGGAAACCGCCTTTTTATGGCTTCAAATGGGAGTCTGCTCATAAAACCTACTTCTTGATATTGTCTGCCTTATTCCAGCGTTCAATGTAGATGGCACTGTTCTTTTCCAAAAGCATTGCATATAGTTCATCGATTCTAGCCTCTAAAAGTAGATATTCAGAAAGCTGACTTAAAGGCGGGAACTCCCCTAATAAATAAACTAACGTGGCATGAGTGGATTCGACTTCTTTAGCGCAAGCAGACGCTCAGCCAGCATTTGACGTCTCCGCTCGCATTCGTAAACCTGAAATTAAGATTTGCTTCGCCGAAAAAAATATATAAGAAATTGCGTCACCTCGTCCTCCTTAAGTTCATAACTCATTCTCAGCAAACTTTCGAAGGGATCATCTTCCAAGGTGAGTCGAGCTTCCTAAACGCGGAAAGATGATAAATAAAGTCAAAAAGAGCCAACGACAACCTTGAAGATGATTCGAATATCAGAAGGTAACGGTGCATTCGGTGGAAAAGGATCCTTCTTCATCCCGTGCACAACTTTGATCCATTTTATGGCATTAATAAACTAAATACACATCCATGGAACATGTTAAAGAACAAAAGCTTAT